GAGAGAGAGAGAGAGAGAGAGAGAGAGAGAGAGAGAGAGAGAGAGAGAGAGAGAGAGAGAAAGAGAGAGAAGTAGACGACGACGACGACGACGACAGAGGCGATGAAAACGACGACGACGACGACGACGACGATGACGATGAGGACGAAGACGACGGCGGTGATGTCGAAGGACGCGCGACTGTCGCGGGGTAAAGACAGGCGGGGAGAAATAACTCGGCTCGATAACTCGCTTATTACAAGCCTCGACGGAGTCTGTAATAATGAGGCGACAAGGGGCAGAGCTTCCCCGCGAAGAAAACGCACGGCGGTGACTGGAGGAAAAGAGGGAGGGCAGGTCGCTTCGCACTGGTCAATTAAAGAGGGATAGAGGGACTTTCCGTTCTCAAAAGCGGGAACTGACTCGAGGAGAGGAGAATCCCGGGTGACGTGAATTTATTTCGGCCGTGTCGAATTTTTATCGATCGCAGTCGTCAGAGAGAGAGAGAGAGAGAGAGAGAGAGAAAGAGAAAGAGAGAGGGGGGGGAGCGAGTGGGCTGGTCGGCGAAAACGAGGCAAGGGATCGCCGATTTTCACCTGGGACGAAAGAGCCGGGCTCGAGGAACCGGTAAAAGGAAGGGGAGGGTGGGAAGAGGAGAGAATGGAAAATATGTATAAGGAAAAGTGCGACGCGACGTCGTAGCCGGCGTGCTCATCTGGAAATGTGAAAAATGAGTCCGCTCGGAGACTCGGCCCGATGCGACAGCCTCTTCTCGTTTCGTTCTACGACTGAACTCCGTTATCGCCGAATCACGCGAGGCTACCTCGTCTCGCCATGGCGAAACTGGAGAGAGTTCCGCTGGCAAAATGTTTAACGTCGAGGATGTCTTATAATAATGAGAGATCCGTTCGTGAACCGCCCCGTTGCGTAAATCTACCCTCTCCCTCCGAGAAATCCGAGACGAGTGACGCCAAAGCTCGTCGAGCTCAGCGCTCAATCCACGTTTTCTCCCCCCTCCCCAACCCCTTCCGCCTTTTCTCTTCTGCTCCTTTTGAATAGTAGCTTTATCTCGCTCGGAAGAGCCGATTGCTCTTCGATTCCTACCCGCTTACCCAAACGACTCGGCAAAAAACAACTTCCGTGACGAGAATATTCCCTCCCTCCCGCCGGTAAACTGCGATAACCCTCATTTGCAGCGAGTGAACGTTAGCGGAGGACTGGCGCGACACGGAGAGGCCGATCTTTGTAATGTCACTTCGCGCGATAATGACAACTCTGTCTCGATCCCCCAGAAGAGCTTTGGACACATTTCAAGCGCTCTCTCTCTCTCTCTCTTTCTCTCCGAGTCAGCGCGACGGACGTCCTCCCCTACGTCCGAAATTGCGAGCTTCGCGACTCACAGACCGCGAGTGTGTGCGTGCAATGCGGACGTACAGCCTCATCCCTTCCCCCCCTCTCCCCGCCCCGAGGACGGAATGCAGCGGTGCGGCAAGAACGAATGAACGAGCGAGCGAACGAAGGAGCGAGCCGAGTCGGTCGGGGTTGCACGGAAGGGTAAAGATGCCGATGGAACCGCGCGCTCAAAAGGGGCTGGTTGATCGATGCTCCGTGGCCTTCCCTCGTTATCTCACGGAACTCGGTGCGTTCTATCGATCGGTACAGCTTCCCGGGGCCATTCCGGAGCCTCCTTCGGACCGAAAGCCTCTTTCGCTCCGGCTGGAGGAGCACCGCGGAAGAAAGGCGCAAAGGGGGAGGGAGGGAGAGGCGACGCATGGTCGGCGAGAGGGGAGGATTCGCCGCAGCAGCCGACGCGACGCGACGCGACGCGACGGCGAGACCGAGTCGCGCGGAGCTGACCGGAAATTGTCGAGAGAATCACGATCGCCGGGCTCGTTAATTAAATATCTCGATATACGCGCGAGCTTTTGATACTCGTCGACGTAAGAGAAAAAGAAAGGAAAGAGGGGGGGAGAGGAAGAGAGAGAGAGAGAGAGAAAGAGAGAGAGAGAGAGTGGGGGAGCGGAGGCAGCGGTGTCGACGACGATCGACGCTGAATGCTCGGGTTGTATTCGTAGAGAGCGAGAGAGAGAGAGAGAGAGAGAGAGAGAGAGAGAGAGAGAGAGAGAGAGAGAGAGAGAGATAGAGGGGGGGGATGAAGGGGTGAGAGGTTCGTTGAATGAAATTTGCGTCCCGCTCTTCTGAAACGCGATCGTGCGCCCGAATTGAAATGAATTCCTGGCGTCTTGACGCAGCGGTGAAAGCATCCTTGCGAACACACGGACGTCGCGAATTTGAATACGCGTTTCCGAAGTATCGAAGCACCGATGGACCTTGAGATCACTTTCGGTGCGCCGTACGTATCGGCGACTCCGGCCGGGAGCGAGGCAACTTCTCGTGAACGTAACTCGTAGTGCCGGCGGCGCAGCCGGTCGCGCTCGTAAAACCGGAAGCGTTGTTAGTGGAACGCCCAATGTTCGCTCTGGACGTTGTTAAAGAGAATGGGCAAGCAGCACACACACACACACACACACACACACACACACACACACACACAAATGTCACACGTACACACGGCGCACTCGCACACTCCACGAGCACACACCCACACAAGGGCGAGATATCTCGCGCTGCATCGTAAAGTGCGCAAATAAACCGAACTCAAGTCAAACGAGCGAAACTCAAACGAGGTAGGGGAGGGGCAGTTTTAGGTACTGCCGGGGGACAAGAGGAGGAAGCATGAGGAGGACGAAGAGTAGCAGCAGGAGGAGGATGAGGAGGCGGCGAAGAAGGAGGAAGGGGAGGAGAAAGGCTTCGAAAAGTCGTGAAACCGTGTCGCGAACGCCATAACGAATGCAATGCGGAAATGCGTCGGTTAAATCCCAGAACGAGCGACAGAGAAAGAGAGAGAGAGGGAGAGAGAGAGAGAGAGAGAGAGAGAGAGAGAGAGAGAGAGAGAGAGAGAGAGAGAGAGAGAGAGAGAGAGAGAGAGGAGTTGGGGGTAAAAACACACAGGGAAAGAGAAAGATAGAGAGAGAGGAAGGGACAGACACAAACAGACAGACCGAAAGAGAGACAGAGAGAGAGAGAGAGAGAGAGAGAGAGAGAGAGAGAGAGAGAGAGAGAGAGAGAGAGAGAGAGAGAGAGAGAGAGAGAGAGATAGATAAAGACAGAGACAGACAGAGAGAGAGGGGGGGAGAGGGCAGGGGACGCGTATGGTCGAATATGGGATGTATAATATATAGTGAACTTTCTCAACTAATCCAGCGAGCTTTATGAAGCTCTACTCGAGGCGGGTATAAATTCACGTGAATCAGTTGTTATTGTAGGCGACGGGTCTTCCCCGGGTGGCCGCGCACACCGAACGAGTAGAGAAACGACCGTATTTTCCGCGGTGCGCATTTGCGTGACGTTATTTTGGATTCGAGAGCACACGTGGGCGGGAGGGAAAGCGGCGGCGGCGGCCGCGAAATCCGAGGAGCGCGTAGGAAGCTCGCGTCTCGCGTCTCGCGGTTCCTCGCGAGGGAGCTCTAACCAGCCCGCGGCGTTCGATTGTTCGCCCGATGCCCTCCGCCGCTTTGCGACACAGGTGACAATTTTCTCGCGTTTGCTTGGCCGATAAAAAAAGACGCGCTGCTGACGCGGACGGGGGAGAGCTTGTGTACACTTTGTGTGACGCGCGATTATCGTTGATACGTGGCGTGTCCGTTCGTCGACGCGAGAAGCGCAAGAGAAGCAGACGGAGAGTGCTCAACGAAAATGATAAAACGTTGACGCAGAGAAACAGAAAGAGACAGAGAGAGAGAGAGAGAGAGAGAGAGAGAGAGAGAGAGAGAGAGAGAGAGAGAGAGGGCGGGGGAGGGGGAGTAAGGGAGCGAGGGGGTGAGAGGTCGCCGCGTAGATTTAGCGTGTGAGTAGACAACAGGGATATGTATGGTACACATAGGCGGCGATGTGAGACACAACGGAAGTCGATTCATAAAACGCAGGAAACGAGAAAGACGAGGACGTGAAAGAACTGCATTAAAGTGTTTGAGTCTGACGATTAATGGGCGATTAATACTAGCTCAAAATCCAAAGTCCGAGAAACGATTATGCAGCGCGTTTTTGAAATAGGAAGTAGAAGAGAGATGATGACGAAGAAAGACAGAAGTATGCAAGTACATATAGAGAGACAGAGAGAGAGAGAGAGAGAGAGAGAGAGAGAAAAAATTAAAAAAAAAAAATACATATACAAAAACGAAGAGAAAAATCAACTCAACAAGACGGGAAAATAATATTACCGCGTGGAACGCTCGTGCCGACACCGTTTTACCGTTGCTGTCGTTCGTCGAAAAGACGCTGCGCTCTTCACCGAAGAGAGAACATATTTACGCGAAACTCTTAAAAAGCACTCCCCGCTGGCGCGGAGAATTTTTACGTGTGCGCGATTGCCGTTTGGACACGAGCTCATTTCTAGCGGGGTATCGATCGTGGTGGCATACGCCGCGACTGACGGAGAGTCGAGAGTGGAGAGAGAAAAATTCATCAGCAAACGGCATAATTATTATACCGACGTTGCACGTCGGGAATGAATGTTGCCAATTAATGTAAGAAAAAATTGCAGTGGCGAGACCGTGCATTACCTTTTTGTTTAGCTACGTCGCTAGGAGTAAGAAACGCATGACTGCAGGATATTAAGTTTATGCAACGAGAACGTCCTTGAATTCAGCAAAACGCGTCACGAAGCGCATCCCTGCGATCGAAGGAAGCAACAAAAAACAGGAAGGAAACGAAAAGCAAGAGAGAACACTGACGAAAAGAGAAAGGAAAGAGAAAAAGAGACTAAGAGATAGAGTAAGAAAGACGGAGAAACAGATGAGAGAGAGAGAGAGAGAGAGAGAGAAAATGTTAAGATCAAGATATATATCACAAATATATCGTAATACAAAAAGAAAAATCCGTTGGGTTATTTTTTTTTGGCACGCTTCGAAAAAAGAAAAAATCTGGCGTCAAGTAAGTCGTCGGCTCTCTCGGGGACTTACCATTCTTTTTTTGGACAACGACTTTGGCTGCGACTTTACGGGGGTTGCCGAACAATCGGAGTTTTGAGTGGTAGTAGTAGTAGTAGTAGAAAGTAGTAGTAGTAGAAGTAGAGAGGTAGTAGTAGCATAGTGTCGTGCCGAGATAGGGAGGAGTCCAAGGCCAGTGTGATTGATAACAAATATAATAGAGAAGGATACGATAAAGACAGTCAGTGCAACTTCAGAAAGGGGCGGGGGGGGGGGGGGGGCTGGCGGGGCGGTCAAAAGGGTTGCGGGTGCAGGGGGTGAGGGCAAAAGGTTCGGTGGTGGAAGGGCTTCGGGGTGTAATGCACACGACGCGTATATCTCCTCGTAATAATTAAAAAAGAGGTGAACCAGGGCTGCTGAGAGGGGGGGCAGTGGGGCGCCGGGATATCTTTCTTATTGATTCGAAACACGCGGGTCTTGCTCCACTGCTTCAATTCTTTTTCCTTTTCTCGTCAAGGGCGACCTAGCCGTATATAGACTGAGAGAACACTACGCGAACGCCGTCCTCCGCGACGACGGCGGAATTGCGATGAGGGGGGTGTTCTGCTTTGATTTCTCTTCATCGGGGCTTTGGAACCCCAACCGGCGATGGACCATCTCCCTTAGAGCCGCGTCGGTTGGACAACGACTGACACGGAGATGATAAATCGACCTGACCTTCCG